TGCGTCCAGGGCAGCCGGCAGGGGCGGGATCGGGGGTGAGCGCGGGACCCCGGTGCCCCGGCCGCGCCTGCAGGACACCAGAGAAGCCCAGCTGAGGACCCACCTACCCCCCGCCCCCGCCGCCGTGTCTCCTCCGCACTGGGCCCCGTTCCCGACCAGGCGGCCGGCCCCCAACCCAGGCGATACCAGCCTTCCCCGGGCCGCAGGCTCCTTAACTGAGGTGGGCGACGTCCAGGGCGTAGAACCGCTTCCCCGGGGACTCTCGGCCTGCCTCTTGGGGGCCCTGCCTCTTCGGGGGACCTGCCTCTTCCGGGACCTGCCTCTTGGGGGGACCTGTCTCTTCGGGGGACCTGCCTCTTGGGGGGCCTGCCTCTTGGAGGGGCCTGCCTCTTCGGGGGGCCTGCCTCTTTGGGGGCCTGCCTCTTGGGGGGCCTGTCTCTTCGGGGGGCCTGCCTCTTTGGGGGCCTGCCTCTTCGGGGGGCCTGCCTCTTGGAGGGGCCTGCCTCTTCGGGGTGCCTGCCTCTTTGGGGGCCTGCCTCTTCCGGGGCCTGCCTCTTTGGGGGCCTGCCTCTTGGGGGGGCCTGCCTCTTCGGGGGGCCTGCCTCTTCCGGGGCCTGCCTCTTTGAGGGCCTGCCTCTTGGGGGGGGCCTGTCTATCAGCCTTGCCTCCTGGCAACCACTCCAGCTTGGCTTTTGCGCCCAGGACCCACCAGTGCGCATACATTTAAAGCGCCTGCTCCTATTCCACCGGGGAAGGCAGAAGCCCGTGAGGAGTGAGTTCTGTGCGGTTGGGAGGCCATCCATGCTGCGGGGGAAACGCGTAGATCGTCTTTAGAGGATGGGGTCCTGGTGAAGGCGGTGAGCAGAGTAGGCCTGACGGACAAGTCAGTGGAAGGAGAGGGCGTGAGTCCTGTCAGCGCTCGGGGAAGCGCCTTCCAGCAGCGGGATGAGCCGCCGCTGCAAAGGCCCGACCTGGGGACATTCCTGGCATGTTTGAAAATGGAGGCGGCCACCGGCTGGTGTGGCTCAGTTGGTTGAGCATCGTCTTATGCACCAAGTGGTCACCTGTTCAATTCCCAGTCAGGGCACATGCCTGCGTTGTTGCTCCATTGGGGGGGGGGCGCGGGGGGGGGGGCCAGCCTGGATGTTTCTCTCTCTCCCTCTCTCTTCCTCTCTCTCTAAAATCAATGGAAACATATTTAATAATTTAAAAAAAGATAAGAAAATGGAGGTGGCTATTGTACCCAGACTGGAGTGCAGGAGAAGCAATAGGCTCTTGGCAGGACTTTGACTTTTACACCCAGAAAGAAGGGCGGAAACAATGAGATACCACCACACACCTATCAGATGGTTATCGCCAACGAGTCAAACAAGTGCGGGCGAGGATGGGGGAAAGGCAACGCTGGCGCGTTGTTGTGGGATTACAAATGGGTGCCGCCACTATGAAAGCAGTGTCTGTCCCAGTAATGTATTGGTGCCTAACAAACCACCCCAGACCTTCCTGGCTTACAGCAACGATTTACTTCCTCATGGTTCTGCAATCCAGATTGGGCTCAGCTGGTTGGTTCTGCTGCTGGCTGGTGTGGTCAGCTGTCTCAATTTGTCACTAATTCCTTTACTCTTTGTCAGTGTGCGATGCTCCACCCAATTGGTCCTGTGACTTGGTTTTGATGCACTGACCGTCATAGAAAGTTCTGGGACTCAGAGCCCAGGACCGAGGACGGGCAGCTTCGCCTTCCTCCACCTTGGTGACATGCTGCCAGGTCATCAGTCTCACTATCTGGAGACCATCATGCTGTGCAAACCCCAAACCAGCCATGTGGCGAGGCCTCACCGAAGACACCTGACCAGCATGGCACCTGACCACACTGGGCTCCCCCAGCCACCCCAGGTGAGGCATCACACATGTATGTCTGTTTGGCTCAGTGGAGAGAGCGTCAGCCTGCGGACTGAAGGGTCCTGGGTTTCATTCTGGTCAAGGGCACATGCCTGGGTTGTGGGCTCCATTCCCAGTGGGGGGCGGGGGCGTGCAGGAGGCAGATGATCCATGATTCTCTCTCATCATTGATGTTTCTGCCTCCCTCTCCCTTCCTTTCTGAAATCAATAAAAAAACTTTTTTTTTTTAAAGAAAAGGGATGTCTTGGATGTTCCATTCTCAGCAGATACCGCACAGAACAGAAGAGCCTCCAGCTGAGGGCAGCCTCATTGTCACAATAAGTAATCAATTGGGGTAGTTTGTTCTGCAACAGTAGCTAGCGGACACAGCCGGGGCCCCTCAGCCACAGTCCCTGGGTGTGATTGAGGCAAGAAGTCTGAGCCAGTGGCACTCAGGCGTCCAGGCAATCTCTCTCTCTCCCTCTCCCTCTCCCCCTCTTCCTCTCTCTCTCTCTCTCTCTCTCTCTCTCTCTCTCTGAGGTTTCCCCAGCAGGTAAGCAGGCATTGTTACGTGGCAGCTCCCACACTCACGGGGACGAGATGAACATCTGCCAGGCCTCCTGAGCCCCTGCAGCTGGTGTGGCATCGCTTGTCACAGCACCGCCAGTCACAGCACGCCAGGGGCCAGCCCCGCTTCCATGGTGGGCGGAGAAGGGATGGGAGGAGGGCTGGCAGACATCTCTTCGGCCAGCTAACCAAGCCATTGGAGGGAGCCGCTGGAGCTCCGGGCAGAGCTGTGGGAAGGAGAGACGGGTTGATGGTGTTGTGTTCTCACTTATGCTGCTGCGACATCTGGGGGTCCTGCTGCCTTGGGGGGGACCGCCTCCCAGAGCGAATTCCTAGAGACCGAAAGCAGCTTCCTGGGACCACACCTTTCACATGCAAACCAGCCAATCCAGAGCCCCGTCTCCCACCCACCTCCTTTATCTCACTCACTCACCACCCCAGGATATCTCTGCCTCCCTCCCCACAGGGCCAGGGACTGGACACTGGAGACCACCCCCATGGACCGAGCCCGCTGAGCTTACTCACAGCCTCCACTGCCTCCCCCACTCCTTCCCATAGAAAACTCAAGGGCTCGGGGTGGAGCCACCCTGGCATTTCCCCTCCTCTTTTGCAAGCACAAAAGTCTTCTTGCAAGCGAGCAGTCATCTCTTCGTCTGCCACCTCACTCAATTAAAACAAATCCTGGGTACATTTTATTTGGGTACATATTGATTTCAGAGAGGAAGGGAGAGGGGGAGAGAGAAACATCCATGATGAGAGAGAATCATGGATTGGCTGCCTCCTGCACGCCCCACAGTGGGGACGGAGCCTGCCACCTGGGCATGTGCCCTGATGGGGAATTGAACCGTGACCTCCTGGTTCATAGGTCCATGCTCAACCACTGAGCCACACCGGCCGGGCAAAGCCTTTAAGGTGACAGGGGAATGGTCTAGAAGTGGCCACAGTGGTCAGGAGGGCACCCAAAGGCACAGGAGGTGTGTGAAATAAACACCCACCTGGACAGGTCCCAGGGAATCCGGTGCCAGGAGAGCGAGAGGAAGGGCTGTTGAGAGAAAGGGGTCAGGACGTGGGTGCGGACGGCGGGTGTGAGTGCCCGGGAGCAGTCTCCCCGCACAGGGGATGGGTGGGCGCTGGAGTCGTAATAAAGGCTATGGGGGTCCAGTTGTGGGAGACAGAGGGTGACCTGAGATAAAAACCACCCACTTTCTCTCCTCATTCATCCCATCTCAGCAGCAGCCAACACACCCTCTCCTCCGGCCTTGTTGACTTCTGCAGTGACCTGGCATTCCGGGATGCCCACAATCCCCTTCCCCTGGGCACCCTGAACTCGCTCTGGAACCCCCAGGCTCTAGGAAGCCAGGCCAGTCTGGCGCTGCCTGCCTACCCCCCCCCCCCAAGTGCTCCCAGCGCCCCCTTTCCTCACCTGGCCCAGCAGGACCCTGCGGAACAGGAAGTCCCTCCCCTTTCGCTGGAGGGCTAGATTGGGGTTCTGTGGGTTTCACCCCAAACTCTAATGGGAGTTACCATCTACACACGAGCACGTAACAAATCTTTAGCCCTTCGTCTCCCCCAGCCTCAGGCGAAGAAGTGCCCAGTGGGCGTCTCAGACTCTGCGGGTCATGAATGTCTCCCGCACCCAAACACCTTATATCTAGGCCCGTTTTCTCCCTCAGAAAATGCCACCGCGTTAACCCAGCGGACCTCGACGCCCTCCTCCAGGCACCCCCAGATTTAACGGGCAGGGGCGCCCACTGCCGCTCTCTGAGCTGGCATGGCCTTCTGTCTCCTGGGCTCCTCCGTCTCCCGCGTGCACGGCCCCCGCCCCCCGCCACTTCACTCTCCACCCGCCTCGCCTTATAGAGGTGATACATCAGAGCATGTCCCTCAGCGCCCTGGAGTCACTCACATCCCGCGCCCCCTCCACGCCAGCCCCGCACCCACGTACTCAGGGCCGGTTCAGCGGGCAGGCAGCTCCCGGGACCCCACCCTGAGCCCCAGGACCGCCGCGCTTCCAGCGCACGCACACCCGCCGCCAGCGCTCCTTCCGCGCAGGACGCGCGGGGCTCGGAGAGGGACCCTTCCCAGCGAGCAGGCCCCGACCCTGCACCGCCCCAGCCCGGGCCACGGCCCCCTCTCCTCGGGAGGTGAGCCGGCCACTCTCCCGGGGCAGCGGGAGACCCGGCCGGACCTCGACCCTGCGGCCCGGAGGCGGGGCCGCGCGCAGACCGGCGGGGATGCGGACCCGGCCAGGAAAAACCCAGCGGACGAGGGGCGTGGCCGGTTTGGGGGCGGGTCAGGGAGAGGGCGTGGCAGGGGCGTGGCCTGGAGGCGGGCCTGGAAGGCTTGAGGCGTGGCTGAGACGGGGGGCGGGCTCACGAGCGTAGGGCGTGGTCGAGGGCGTGTCCCCACCGAGGGGGCGGGGATACGGGCGTGGTCACATAGGGGGACTGGTCGGAGGGGGCGTGGTCTTGCCTGCGGCGTGTCCGGATTGGAGGAAGGGCCGACGGGGCGTGGTCGAGGGTGAGTCGGACCGGTGTGGTGCTCAGAGCAGAGCCGGCCAGCAAGCGGGCGGGGGCAGCAGCGAGCGACCGTCCGGCCGGGCCCGCGGGCGGCATGGGGCGGGTGCAGCTCTTCGAGATCCGCCTGAGCCACGGCCGCATCGTCTACAGCCCCGGGGAGCCGCTGGCAGGGACCGTGCACGTGTGCCTGGGGGCGCCTCTGCCCTTCCGAGGTGGGCGCGGGTCGCCTTGGGGCGGGCCAGGCGGGGTGGGTTCAGGTGGCTGCGCTCGCTCCTGGGGCTGGGCCGGGACTCCCGGAAGCGCTGCCGATGTCGCTGAGTCTGGGCCACCCCCTTCTCCCCTAGCACGGCCCGGGGCCCGTATGGGCGCCACTCGGGTGCCCCGGGTGCTGGGAGTGTTGGGTGGGAGGCGGGCGGCGTTCGGGGCAGAGCAGGGAGGCCTGGGTGGCCCAGTCTTCCGCTTCTGCCCTTCCTGTCCTCTGCGCCCGGGTGAAGGCTGGGAGCCTGTCCACTTTGGCAGAGCCCACTGGGACCTGGACACAGGCAAGCCTCCAACCCTCCCTGCCAAGGCTCTAGGGTCCACTCTGCCCAGCACCTGCTGGGCCCTTACTGGGAGGCTGGGCTTTCTCTCCCACACCCCCGGCTCCTGGCGCAGACAGTCCCACTGCCGAGTCTGCGGGTTCCCAGCTGGACCCACGGGCCACCCGGGCACCTGCTTACATCCAGTCTAAGCTTGTACTTGTGGACAGGGGTGTCTTGCTTACCCATGGTTGCCCAGGCTCCCAGCCCCACTGGCATCTGGGAGGTGAACCTGAGCCCTCCTGGCCTGTCCCCCTGCTGGTGCACACACCTGGGGCTTTGGGATCAGGTTGCCGCAGCTGCCCTCCTCAGCACCCTCCACAGGTGCCGGCCTCTCCTGTCCGAGGTGTCCACAGGGACCTGGGTGGGTTCTCAGGGCTCGACCCTCAGGGTGGGGGCGGGGGATCCCTGGCTCTGAGCACAAGGTTGTGCAGTGTGTCCCTGCTGGGGTGCTCCTCGACCTTGGGGTGCTCAGCCAGACCCCTGTGTGGCTGGCAGCTCAGCACTTCTGGTCCCCACTGAGGATTGAGAGCCCCCCTGGGCAGCCGCTGCCTCCGTCCTGGACAGGCCTCACCTGCCCCCTCACGCCACAGTGAGAGGCCGCAGGGGTCTGAGAAGCTGGTATAAGTAGCGTGCTCACCTCTCGCTAGGGGTTCGGCCTGTGGAGTCTCCTCCCCATGAGACTGTCACCTCCTTTCTCGTCTCCCCAGTGGGAGTTTGGGGTTTGGGTGGGAGTGTGTGTGGCAGGGGCACAGTAGGGACCATGCAGTTCTTCCCTGGGGCACAAGCCAGAGGCGAGAAGTGCCATGGGGCCAGCTTCCTGGTGGGAGGGAGGGTGCTGTGCAGGGCCCCAGGCAGGAGGGGCAGCCTCGCAGCTGGGGCAACCGAGCCCCTGCGCCGCACTCATCACCTGGCTTGTCCACCTGTCACCCTCCTGTAGCCGGGGCCCAGGGAGCAGGCTGTTGGTGACCACAGTGGAGGGATGGCCTGAGCTGTGGGGGACTGGTCTGGCCTGGACAGCCCCCCCTGGCCTTCGTGTGGTGGGTGGGCTGTGGGTGAGTGGACAGCTGCCACAGAAGGCCGGGGGAGCCCTATTGGTGGTCCCACCTGTAAAAGTGCAAGCCTCAGAGCGGGAGAGGGAATGGTGGGGGGTGGGTAGGGGAGCAGGTGAGTTTGGTCAGGTGACCCTGGGAGCAGAGGGAGTGTGGGCGCTGTAGCTGTGCTGGGCTTCCTCCCAGCCCGGCCTGGGTCGGGGAAGGGAAGGTCGGGCTCTTTTTCCTTCTTTTATTCAAATGATACTTGTTGAATCCTTGCTGCCAGCCAGTGATGCAATGGGAGACCTCCATCCCCAGGAAGGGACATGGAGAAGGACAGTCCCCAGCCCCACGGCTCACTGAGCTCTTGTCACGGGCCTGACACCTCCCTCCCCACTTCCAATGGTCCGACTCTGTGAATTCTCATAGCAGCCCTGGGAGGTGGGCGCTGTCATCCTCGTGTGACAGACCTGGAGCCAGGACAGAGAGAAGTGGCTCATGGGCTAGAGGCAGGGAAAGAAAAGGTGATTTTTAAAAAATATATATTTGATATATTTTTATTGCTTTCAGAAAGGAAGGAAGAGGGAGAGATAGAAAGATCCATGATGAGAGAGAATCACTGATCGGTTGCCTCCTGCAAGTCCCCCGCTGGGGAGGAGCCCACAACCCTGGGCAGGTGCCCTTGACCAGAATTGAACCTGGGACCTTTCAGTTCGCAGGCCGCTGCTCTATCCACTGAGCCAAACAGGTAGGGCAAGGCTAATATATTTTTATTGATTTCAGAGAGGAAGGGAGAGGAAGAGAGAGATAGAAACATCAGTGATGATAGAACCATTGATCGGCTGCTTCCTGCACGCCCCTCACTGGGGATCGAGCCCGAAACCCGGGGAATGTGCCCTGACCAGGAATTGAACCCTGACCTCCTGGTTCATGAGTTGACACTCAACCACTGAGCCGCCCCAGCGGGGCCCCGTGATGATTTTCCTTAGAGAACTGGAGCAGCCCCAAACATCCAAACGGGTACCCGTCAGTTCAGTGCCGCCGTCCGTTATACATCCAAGCACTGGTACAACTGAGCGTTCCACACCTGGACGGCGCAGCCCTGCTCAGTGCTGGGAGCACACCTGCCCCGCCTGCGTCTGCGCAGTGGGCGCTGCTGGTGCGATGCCCGTGCTCTCCTCCAGGGGGCAGGACGGCGCGCTGTGTGTGTCCATCCCTCTGCTCCATCCTCTGGGAGAAGGGGGTGGAAGGAACGGGATGGTTTCCTCCGGGACAGCGACTGGCCTCGCTCATGCAGTCAGGGTCCCGAAGGGCGCCCGTGTGTGTGCAGAAGGGGCTCTTTGCTGGGCATTGGGCAGGCCGCAGCGCTTGGGCCCTTGGGGGTAACCAAGGTTCGCTTTGATACCGATACTTTTTCCGGGGTGAGGTGCCCCGACAGCTCTTCACCTGAACTCTGGGGTGCAGGCCAAGCCGGGGGAAGGTCTCAGCCACCTTGCCTGGGGACTGCGCCTCGATTGTTGGCGTTACGAGCTGTGGTGCTTGGGGCTCCTGGGTAGAGAGTGTGAGATTCTGAGAGCTGCTGGGTCCCTGGTCCGTGCCATCCTGCCTGGCACCTCGGCCTACATCTGGTTACTCCAAGGCGTCTGTGTCCCACCTCAACACAGTTGCCAACTGAAGGTTACAACGGTGAGTGGACGCCTGTGGCTCTTGTCTGCTACTATGCAAGCCCCTAAGTAACAAGTCACCCCTGAGCTAAGTGGTGTTAGCTACCGTCGTGGGTCCAGATTTGGACAGAGGTGGGCAGATCGATCCTTCAGCTCCATGCGCCGTCCACTGGGGTCACAGTGCCTGGCGGGCACCGGGGCCATCTGGGGACCGCTGCATCCCTCGGGCATACTCTGTTGACCCCAGCATCCCCAGGGCAGTGGGACCAAGTGGGGCCATGCCCTGTCCATGGAGGGTTCAAGCTGGGCGGCTTTTCCCTGGGTCCGCCACCCTGCCCTCTGCCTGCCTGGCCGCTCCTGGGCTGTGAGGGTCGGCAGGAGCCCTGCTGCCCCAGATTTCAGGGTGGGGACACTTCCAGGCCTGGACCCAGGAGGGCTCGGCTGACGGAGCAAGGATTAGAAAGCAGGCTGAGGTCCTAGAGGGGAGACAGGACGGCACAGAGGCCGAAGGCTGGTCGCTGGCCGTGCCGATGGGGGCGGGGGAGAGCCAGGGTCCTGAAGGAGCTGTGTGCTGAGGGTGACCCACAGGAAGTCTGTCCGCAGGTGGGCCAGCTTGGGGATACGTGGACATGGCTGGCCTGGCTGACCCCTGGCCCGGGCCCCGGGCACACCAGGCGGGCTCTGTCAGTCAGGTGTCAGACTCTGCGTCACCTTCCCCTCACCTGACATGGAGTCAGGGAAGGGCGAGGGACTGCCCGGAGATGCCGAGGTCTTTGACCTTGACTCAGCCCTGCGTGAGAGGAGGGTGGGGCCGCAGGGCCCCCTGCCGGTCAGCTTCTGCCCCTCTACCTGCTCGGTGCCTCTGCCCCTCTCGGGCTCAGAGCATAGGTGTTGGGCTGAGACGTCCGAGTTCCTCACCACGGAACCGTGGCTGCCACAGGTTCTGGTCCAGGTGCTTCCGCTGGGGAGTAGGGGAGGGGACCGGCCGCTGTGGATGCAGAAAGTCAGTCTGCTGGGCAGCGCTGGCCCAGGAAGTCAGGGCCGCCCCACCCGCCATTGTGTGCCTTTTCTGCCCAGGCGGGTCTGACCACATTCCTGCAGTGTGAGGCCAGCTGCTGGCTCCCTGGAGCGCAAAGGGTGCTTCCCTATCTAACTGACTCGCCTGTGAGAGCGTGAAGGCCGGGTCAGCGGTCACCAGCCCCACGGGCCTCTGTTCCGCATTCATGTCCCACGCATCCCCTCTGGGAGCCGGGTGTTCACAGGCTGGTGGGCCCAGGCGTGTCCTCTGGGTGACCCTGGGGGCAGCAGCACAGGTGTCCCTTGCGCCTCACCACCCTGGCGCCCTGTGAGCACCCCCAGCTGGGGGAGGGGCAGGAGCTGTCTTCTAAAAGGCAGCAAACCTTTGCTGGCTTCTCAGGCCCCACCTGGGGGGGGGGGGGCTGCCAGCCCTGCTTGAATGCCTGTGCTGGGGGCAGGGAGGGGCCAGGCCGGTGGCAGCTGGGCTCACCCCGTCCCCCTTCTTGCAGTGATTCGGGTGAGCTGCACAGGCTCCTGCAGGGTCTCCACCAAGGCCAACGACACAGCGTGGGTGACGGAGGAGGGCTACGTCAACAGCGCTCTGTCGCTGGCTGACAAAGGTGCGTCCGCCTGGGAGCCTGTCTGTCCATCCCCCTTTACATCTGCCTCTGGGAACACCGTACAGGCCCACTTCCCGCAGGGCTGTGCACCCTGATGGGTCTCTCTCCCTGGCAGGCTCTGGGCTGGGCTGCTGACGGGGCAGCTTCTCCTGGATGTGGGCGGCTCCAGCCTCCGGGACAGCTCTGAGCCCCTGTAGTTTAAGCCAAGCTCTCGACCCCATCCTCTGCCCAGGCCTTGGCCCTGTGCTGCTGGGTGCAGGGCGCGGGGGCCAGGCACCCCAGCAGCCAGAGCGGTGCAAGCTGCTTGGCTGTGGTGCCTGCTTCTCTCCTGGGCCCTGTGGTGTCACCTGGGGCTCCGGAGGGCCCCGGCCCCACACCTCCCTGCTGTCTCCGCAGGGAGCCTGCCTACTGGAGAGCACAGCTTCCCCTTCCAGTTCCTGCTTCCTGGTGAGCGCCCCGCCTGGCCAGGCCTGGTGGTGACAGTGGGTGGGGGAGAGGAGAGGGGGGGCCAGTTGGGTGCCAGTCTGTGCTCTCTCTCCAGCCACGGCACCCACGTCTTTCGAGGGCCCCTTTGGGAAGATCGTGTACCAGGTGCGGGCCACCATCGACACGCCGCGTTTTTCCAAGGATCACCAGTGCAGCTGTGTGTTCTACATCTTGAGCCCTCTGAACCTGAACAGCATCCCGGACATCGAGGTGAGGATGGGCTGGTGGCCCCCTGGGTCCACGGGGATCCCGCCTGCCCACACCACCAACGCTCTCCCCCCTCCCCCTCCCCCCAAGCAACCCAATGTGGCCTCCACCACCAAGAAGTTCTCCTACAAGCTGGTGAAGACGGGCAGCGTGGTGCTCACCGCCAGCACCGACCTCCGTGGCTACGTGGTGGGGCAGGTGCTGCGGCTGCAGGCCGACATCGATAACCAGTCGGGCAAGGACACCGGCCCGGTGGTGGCCAGTCTGCTGCAGGTCAGGGTCCCCATGGGAGGGTGGAGGGTAGGTCGCTGGCCTGCCCCGGCTCATAGGCTGGCCCTTCCCTAGAAAGTGTCCTATAAGGCCAAACGCTGGATCTACGACGTGCGGGCCATCGCGGATGTGGAGGGTGCCGGAGTCAAGGCCTGGAGGCGGACGCAGTGGCAGGAGCAGATCCTGGTGCCCGCCCTGCCCCAGTCGGCCCTGCCGGGCTGCAGCCTCATCCACGTAGACTACTACCTGCAGGTACTGGGGCTGGGGCGGCGGGGTGTGGGGGGTGGGGGTGGGGAGGGGGCCCGGCGTCTGGACCCTCACCACCCGTCCCTCGCAGGTCTCCCTGAAGGTGCCCGAAGCCTCCGTGACCCTCCCGGTCTTCGTCGGCCATATCGCTGTGAACCCAGCCCCGCCAAGTCTGCAGCCAGGCCCCGGGCCGCCTCCTGGGGCTCAGTCCTTGGTGGTGCCCTCGGCCCCGCCCCAGGAGGAGGCTGAGGCTGAGGCTGAGGCCACGGCCGGCCAACCCCACTTGGTGGACCCTGTCTCCCTCCTCGCCAAGTGCCACTTGCAGCTGCGGCCACCTGCCGCCCTCGGTGCAGGGCCTGGTGCCCCCGAACCCCATCCCCTGGGCGGCAGCCCGGCCTCCCGCCCTCTGCCCCCCACCTTGTGCATCTCCACAGGTGCCGCTGTGCCCTACTTCGCAGATGGGGCTGGAGGGCCGGTGCCCACTACCAGCACCTTGATCCTGCCCCCGGAGTACAGCTTGTGGGCCCACCCCTGCGGTGAGTGAGGGCCTGGGGCCGGGGACGGAGGTGCACGGGCCCCACGCTGACTTCTCTCTCCCCGCAGAGGCCCCGCCGTCCTATGAGCAGAGCTGCAGCAGTGCGGACCCCGGCCTGATCCCCGGGAGCTGACCCGCTCCGCCTTCTCCCCGCTGGCCGACCTCTGCCACGGGACCTTTGCGCCCGGCCTGACCCGGCCCTCTCAGGACTCGATGCGCCCGGCGGCCCCCGCGCACGTGGCCTCTCCCGGCCGAGGGCCGGCTGGACCGGACCCACACGGTGTCAATAAAACATTGCATTTGTTGCGCCGGGCGCAGGCCGGCCTCTCGGGCGCCCTCCTGCGGCCGGACGTGCGCGGGCCCATCCTGGGGGCCCCTCCTCGGGCCCGCCCTCATCCCGCCCAGGCGAGGCCCCGCCCAACCCTCAACCCCGCCCCCAGGGCGCCAGCCTTTCTCGCCCCGCCCCTTCCGGGCACCTGGCCCTCTCGCCCCTCCCCTCCGGGACGCGCCCCCTTCTGCGCCCCGCCCCTTCCGGGCACCTGGCCCTCTCGCCCCTCCCCTCCTGGACGCGCCCCTTCTCCTAGGTCTCTCCCTCCCTCCCGGGCGCGTTCCCCCGGCCCTGGGAGCTGGGTTTCCCGTGGAGCCCAGGCGTTGGTCCGGAGGCCACCGGTCCCTCCTGTACGCGCACCTTGGCTGGCCCGGCCGGCACCCACCGTTCAGGCGGCGCCGTTCAGATCGGCGCCGGAGGAGGTCCCGCGGGGGCGAAGGGGCGGGTTTGCCCTTAGCTTCGGCCTCAAGTGTCACGTTGCTGCTGGAGCTACTGCCACGTCTGACAGGCCGCTGCTTGCCTCCATCCAAGTGGGAGCGCGGGCCTGCTCCTGCGGCCTGTGTTTCCAAGGGCTGTCACCTAGGACTCGAGGAGCCCGCGAGCGGAGCCAGGGTTTTCTAGAGATGTTTCCCCAGGGGCATCTGCTGACCTTCCCAGCCCTGCCCGCCTGCCAGTGGTCCTGGAACCAAGTTTGGGAAAACGGGAGGTGGGGTGAAGGCTTGGGTTCAGAGTCTGGCTCTGCCATATGGTGACGGGTGGCCACGGGTCTGCTACCTTAATCATAACAAACTCATGGGCCTAGGAAGGGACAGGTCAGCCCCCATGCCAAGTTGACTTCTTGAACATTTAGCAGTCCAGAGGGAGGATGTGGCCTGGTGGTGTGGCTGTCATTCTCTGGTCCAGGTTCCACCCCTCACCCAGCTTTCTGGGCCTGCCCCCCTCCTGCTTTTGGGGGGACAGGCTGGTAGATGATCATTTTTGCACACATCCCACTGGCCACCATTTGCTGTGGGAAATGTGCTCTTTATTGGGCAGCCATGCACCCGGCCAAATATTATTATTTGTAGGACAAGAAGCGGGTGGAAAAGCACAAAGTATACCACCAACAGGATAATCTAACATCTGCTAGAGGCTGTCGCCTCAGTCGAAAGGAAAGTCCGCATGGGTTCAAATCGCATCTCTGCCTCTAGACCAGTGGTTCTCTTCCTAACGCCGCGACCCTTTCATACAGTTCCTCATGTTGTGGTGACCCCCAATTTCATTGTGACAAATTGAACATAATTAAAGCATAGTGATTAATCACAAAAACAGTAATTATATATGTGTTTTCCGATGGTCTTAGGCGACCCCTGTGAAAGGGTCGTTCGAACTCCAAAGGGGTCGCGACCCACAGGTTGAGAACCGCTGCTCGAGACAGTTGCGTGGTCTTGAACACAGCTCCCTTGCTTTGCCTTGCACATTCACAGAATGTGGGCAAGAACAATGACCTGTCCCTCCTGACCGACCTGATGGTTAGAGGTAACATCTCACCTGCAGAGCACGGCGCCTGACATGTTACCAGGGGTCCCGAGGACAGGGAGGGGCAGGCTGCCCTCATGGTCCCAAACAGGAGTGCAGCCTAATTCTGACAGTTCACTTCTTTTGGTATTTGCCTGGTAAAGGATTGTTCTTCATATCATTCACTGAACAAATGTTCATTCAAAAAATATGTTTATTGATTTCAGAGAGGGAGAGAGAGGGATAGAAACATCAACGACGAGAATCATTGATTAGCTGCCTCCTGCACCCCCAACACTGGGGATTGAGCCCGAAACCCAGGCATATGTCCTGACTGGGAATCACCCTGTGACCTCCTGGTTCATCGGTCGACGCCGGCTGGGCCAAAGGCTCATTTTGAATCCCACATGCCAAGTATAGTTCTATATAGGGGAGCGGGTGGCCTGAGCCAGTGCTTCCAGGGCATGGAGCTTGGGGTGATCCGGGACGCTGCGCGGCTGGGGCACCCCCACGTCAGGCATCTCCCTGAACAAGAACACCCCCAAACGGGGGCAACCCTCCCCAAGGGGACGTTCCTCACCCCACCCCCAGCCTTCCCAATGGGGACCCTGTCCCCGACCAGGGCACACCCTCCCTCACAGTACGACAGGCCGCCGCTGGCGCGCCCCGGGAGGAGCCCCTCTGAACGCAGACAACGCTCCCCAGGGGCCGGCCACCCAAATGGGGGCAAGCCCCTCCCCCGCCCCGGGCGGCCTCCGCAGTCCCGACTCCATCCCCGGCAGGCGCACCCCCCCACAACCCGCACAGCCTCTACCCGCACCCCTTCCCGACCTGGCGCACCCCACCCAGGGCACCGCCCAGGGGCGCAGGGCAGGGCAGGGCCCGCCCGCCGAGAAGGCCCGCGAACACCGTGTCCGAGGTCAGAGGTCAGGGCCCTTCTCCGCCCCCGCCCGCCCGATGCAGAATCGGAGCGAGCTGGGGTTCGCGAAAAGACCGGGCCGCCGGCCGCCCCCGGGAAGGCGTCCCACTGGCCCCGCCCCCGGCCGGCCCGCGCGCCCCGCTTCCGGCTGACGCAGGCTCGCGCCGCGGGCGCCGCTGTCCGGGCCGCAGTGCGCAGGCGCGGGCGCGGGCGCAGGCGCAGACTAGCCGGGCGGCCCGCCCCGCCCTGGGCCGCGAGGCGCGGGCGGGGCGATGGCGCGCGGGAGGGGCGGGGCCACGCTCCGGGCCCGGGCCATGGCCGCCGCCGATGCCGAGGTGAGGAGCGGGGCCGACGGGCCGGCGACGGGCGCGGGCGCGGCGGGCGGCGCGGGGCGGCGGGGGCGGAGGCGCCGAGCGGGGGCGCCGCGCGGGCGGGCGGGGGCGCCGCGCCGGAGACGGGCCCGCGCTTCCTCGCCGCCGCTGCGCCTCAGGCCGAGGCCGGGCCGAGGCCCCGGGCGTGCGGGCCGCGCTGCGCCGGGCGCGCTTTGTGCGGGCGCGGGCGGGGGCGGCGCGGCGGGGCGGGCGCGGCGCGGAGGGGGGCGGCCCGGCCGAGCCCGCGGGGCCGCGAGGACAGGAAGGAAAGTGGGGCGCGCCGGCTAACTTCGCGGCGCGGCCGGGCGAGCCTGTGCGCTCCGGGCGCCTCGCTGCGCCCCGCTGACCTTCCACTTTGTTCCGAATAGGACGGCCGCGTCTGTAACGAAAAGTTGGCGGCCGCGCTCCGCCCCGGACACGGCTGCCCGGCCCTGGCGGCTGTCAGCCCGGGAGTGCGCGACTCGGGTGGGTTCCTGAGCGAACCTCCGCCCGGCTCCGGACGGAGAAACTTGGCTTCTTTTGTTAACGCTCCCGGCCTCCCCCGTGGCCGGGCCGAGGGCGGCGGCACGGGATCCCACTCCGGTGGACCCCCGCTTGCCGCTGGAGCGAAGGGCGCCGCGCCGGCTCGCGGAGGGCGGGCGAGGTGCGGTCCCGGCCGCGGAGAGCGGGTTTGGGGAAGCGATGACCGAGCGGGTTCCTGGGCAGCCCCTCCAGGTGCCGTGAGAGCCGCGGGCTCTTCCGAAGGTCGGGGCGCCGGCCGGCGCGCGGGCCGGTCTGAGAGCCCAGTAGTGGACACGCTGCTCGTCCTCCCCTCGCGTCGTCGGGAGCCCGATGTTAGCGGGACGCGGGGCAGTTGTTGAACTCCACGCGGGGAGTGTGCCCCGCGCCCTGCAACTTTCAAGGAACGAAAGGTGCCTGTGATGCGGAAGGCGCGGCCAGGCTTGCGGGAGGGCAGCGCAGGGAGCCGCTTGCCGAGCGCCCGCCGCGTCCCGGGCCCTGCGAGCTCGGGGAGCGCCCCGTCGGCGCTTTCCTGCTCAACAGGTGAGGGAACGGACTGGGAAGGCGTAGGACCAGTCGGTCCTAGGACTAGCACGGTCCGGTGCCTGGCACGTAGTAGGCTTTTCGTTAATACTTGTTGAGCACAGGGCCCGGGACGCCTCTGATTCCAGGCAGCCGGGACTGGAGCTGAGCTGTGGGCACTGGACTGACTACCTGTGCCAGCGCCGCCGCAGCGCCCTCCCTGCAAGGGCGCCCTCGTTGAAGCCTGGTGGGTGCTGTCTGCCGTCGGCGCCCCAGGAAGCAGGCCCAGCGAGGCCCAGGGCTCCGAGCTCGTGTCAGAGGAGATGGGTGCAGGCGGCCCCGTCAGAGCCCCGCTCCCTCAAAGTGTTCACTCCGTCCTGGTTTCCCGCCGCGACTTCCTGACCCTAAAAAGAACTCAGTTTCTGGGCTGTCCCCACCTCCGCTTTGTGGGTTGGTAATGTTCACCAATAAAGTAGTGTGCACCAATAAAGTAGTGTGCACCAATAAAGTAGTGTGCACCCACAAAGTAGTGTGCACCCACAAAGTAGTGTGCACCCACAAAGTAGTGTTCACCAATAAAGTAGTGTGCACCAATAAAGTAGTGTGCACCCACAAAGTAGTGTTCACCAATAAAGTAGTGTGCACCAATAAAGTAGTGTGCACCCACAAAGTAGTGTTCACCAATAAAGTAGTGTGCACCAATAAAGTAGTGTGCACCCACAAAGTAGTGTGCACCCACAAAGTAGTGTGCACCCACAAAGTAGTGTGCACCCACAAAGTAGTGTGCACCAATAAAGTAGTGTGCACCAATAAAGTAGTGTGCACCAATAAAGTAGTGTGGTCTCCTGTGCCCGGATCTCCCAGCCCCAGAGCCCAGGGGGGTGCACTCGCCTTAAGGCTTCTGACCCAGCAAAGGGCACCTTTCAGCAGGAGGCTGCCCGGGCCAGTCCTATAACTTCCGGGCAGCCGGGCTGCCTTGTATCTTGAACCTTACTTTTTGTTCCTTAAAGTATTATACGCACATGCAGGTCGTTTAAAAGCTCAGACGGTGCTAAGAGATGTTTACAAGAGGCCGCCCTCGGCCCAGCCTCTGGAGAGGCAGCGGCCACTTGGCAGTCCAGCGTGTGCTCCGCATGTAAGTCACCTGCTATGTTGTCCTGTGTCGATCTTTTTCTACTTTTCCATCACCAACTTTAGGGGTTATCTTTTGGCTTCCACTCATGGTAGAGGTGATTTCAGTTCTCTCCTACTGTCTTCCCTTAGTGACTCACAATTTTGGTTAAATCCCCATCCAGAACCTTCATCCGTCTGTTCAGGGTATTGTGCCATGCTGAACGGGAGGCTAAACTACAGTTTTTTAAAAAATGTATAGCCGAAACCGGTTTGGCTCAGTGGATAGAGCGTCGGCCTGCAGACTGAAAGGTCCCGGGTTCGATTCCGGTCAAGGGTATGTATATGGGTTTCGGGCACATCCCCAGTGGGAGATGTGCAGGAGGCAGATGATCGATGTTTCTAACTCTCTATCTCTCTCCCTTCCTGTCTGTAAAAAATCAATAAAATATGTTTTTTAAAAAAGTATATATTTTTTATTGATTTCAGAGAGGAAGGGAGAGGGAGAGAGATAGAAACATCAGTGATGAAAGAGAATCATTGATCGGCTGCCTCTTGCATGCCCTTACACTGGGGATTGAGCCTGCAGCTGATTGCCCTGTCTGGGAATCGAACCCATGACCTCTTGGGTCACAGGTTGATGCTCAACCACTGAGCCAGGCCAGCTGGACTACCATTTTTTTTTTTTAATATATTTTATTGATTTTTTACAGAGAGGAAGGGAGAGGGATAGAGAGTTAGAAACATCGATGAGAGAGAAACATCGATCAGCTGCCTCCTGCACACCTCCCACTGGGGATGTGCCCGCACCCCAGGTACATGCCCTTGACCGGAATCGAACCCGGGACCTTTCAGTCCGCAGGCCGGCGCTCTATCCACTGAGCCAAACCGATTCTGGCACCATTTTTTTTTGTACATCCTTTTCTTCTGCCTTGGAGTCAATAATTGACTTATTTTTTTCATTTGTCCAATTTCCTTTGAACCTCAGAATAATCTTCTCACACCTTTCATTCTGTAAAACCTTCTTCCTTTATGTTTTTACCACTCAGCTCACCAGTGTTCCCGGCGCTCCTGGCCACGCTGCCCCAGTCAGGGTGCTGTCCTCCTGGGGGTTCTCCACGTTTACCGCCAGGCTCCCCACCCGCCGCGACCTGCTCCTCGTGCTGGAGCACAGCCCCAGGCCCTTCGCAGCCGTTTGTTGGGACTTGACGGTGTGAGAGAGTGTGTCCTACCCCACATTTACAGCACAGGGGGCTGAGCGTGGCGTGCCAGGGGGAAGTAGTGTTAAGTTTGAAGTGGCTCCAGTATCTTCTAGTTTTCATTGTTGCTGTCGCGAAGTAGTTTGATTCTTAATCCTTGTCGGGCGTTCTTCCCCTCCTCACTGAGCTTCCAG